GCAGGTATTGATTGAGTCTTGTATTCCATTCTAGTAACAGGTGCAGAATATATATCAGAGCAGAGACACTTGTAGATTCTTGCAGACCAAGTGCTCCATAGCCTTACAAAACAACAACAACAACAAAAAGGTTTAAAATGTGATTTAAGAAAAGATTTACTTTTAAGCCTGATTGCCGTGCAAATGTATTTTAAGGTGTGTTACATTTGTTTTTGCTGTAGAATGTGCATTTTAATGATGCAAAGACATGTTGCCTTCTTTCCTGTTGCATTTGTTTTAAGTTGTGATTCTTTGTCCTTCTAATGAAGAGCTCGAGTGGCCAATAGCAAGGAGAAAGGATAGGTGGGGCTGGCAGAGAGAATAAATAGGAGGAGCTAGTGTGCACAGAACCTAGGGAACAGCCAGCCAGCCAGTCAGCCACAGAGTAAAAGTGAAAGTAAGACATACAGAAAAAGAGAAGAGAAAAAAAAAAGCACAGAGGCAAAAGGTAGTTGGGGATAATTTAACAAAAGCTGGCTAGAAACAAGCCAAGCTAAGGCCAGGCATTCATAGGTGAGAATAAGACTCTGTCGTGATTTGGGAGCCGGGTGGTGTAATAAAGTAAGCAGCTACCAACATCTGATGCTGCTTTGTTGCTCTGAAGGCAGAGGCAAGTGGATCTGGGTTCATGGCCAGCCTGGTCGACAGAGAGCGAGTTCCGGTACAGCCAGAACCTTGTCTCAAACAAAGCCAGAGAGAGAGAGGAGAGGGACACGAAGACGTGGGTCAGTCTCTCAGTGGACCTGGCTGGCCTCAAACCTGCGGCAGCATTACTGCCTCAGCCTCCTGAGTGCTGAGATTTCAGGCATGTGCCATCATGATCTAGTTTATAAAATAATTGTCTATCTTCGTGTGTTTGCTTATGTGCACGTGAGCCGTCTTGCCCAAACCCCTCCTGTTACATTCTAGAGCCCGGTTTCCTGAAGTTGGGGATGTTGAGAGATTTGTCAACTCTCCCCACTTAGACCCCTCAATGTGTAAGGGGTGAGTACACAGGAGGGATTGTTGTGGGGACCAAGTCAGTTGGGGTCTCACTATTTTTTTTTTTTTTTTTTTTTGTGCCTCTCCCAGTTCTCTGTTCCTGAAGATCATCACAGAGGAGCTGCGACTATCAAGCCATGGCTCAGGTGAGGTGTAACTCTTTTGTATTCAAATTGAGTCTTTTTTGTTTGTTTGTTTTTGTTTTGCTTTTCCAGACAGGGTTTCTCTGTGGCTTTGGAGTCTGTCCTGGAACTAGCTCTTGTAGACCAGGCTGGTCTCGAACTCACAGAGATCCGCCTGCCTCTGCCTCCCGAGTGTTGGAATTAAAGGCATGCACTTCCTGGCCAAACTGAGTCATTTTTGACTCTAGTACAAATAAATGTCTGTTTTTTTCATCTTGATGCTCTTTTGGTTGGTGTTGAGTGAGAAACCTTTCAGTTTGGTTATAAGCAGAGCCCACATAGACTCACCCTCGCTCTACAGCAGCGGTCTCAACCTTCCTAACGCTGCTGCCCTTAATACAGTTCCTCATGTTGTGCTGACCCCCAGCATTACAATTATTTCATTGCTACTTCATAACTGTAGTTTTGCCTCTGTTATGAAACATTATGTAAATATATTTGTTTTCATTTGCTTTTACGTGATCTCTGTGAAAGGGTCATTCAATACCCCTTCCCAAAAAAGGGATTACAAATCACAGGTTGAGAACTGCTGCTCTAAAGGTCAGGGTCTCTAATAGACTAAAGTGAAAAAAAGCTTGGAGGGGCTGGAGAGATGGCTCAGAGGTTAAGAGCAATGGCTGCTCTTCCAGAGGTCCTGAGTTCAATTCCCAGCAACCACATGGTGGCTCACAGCCCTCTTGTGGCCTGCAGGCATACATGCAGACAGAACACTGTATACGTAATAAACAAACAAACAAATAAATACATAAATCTTTTAAAAAGACAAGAAAAGAAAAAAGCTTTCGGGGTCCAGCTGTTAATGGTTGCTAGACTCATAATCAAAACATGATGGTGTATGCCTTTAACTCCAGCACTCAGCAGGCAGAGGCAGGAAGAGTTCAAGGCCAGTCTGGTCTACATAGTGAGTTCCAGGCTATCCAGGGTTACACAGTGAGATGCTGTCCCAAAATGACAACAAAAAAAAAAAAAAAAAAAAAAAAAAAAAAAAAAGAAGAAGAAAGAAAGTGTGACAGCTGTGCTCAGTCTCAGTCTTAGAACCTGGCAGGTCTCCTGGCTTATGAGCCTTTTCAGTTTGGAAGTATGACTGCTGGATGGTCAAAGGTCTGATAATCTGGTGAGCATCCATGAAAACTTAGCCATCTGGAACATCAATGAGGGCTTTTTGTTTTGTTTTCTCGAGAGCTTTTGATTATTATTATTTTAATCTTATGTGTTTGGGAGTTTTGCCTGTGAGAATGCCTGTGCACCATGTGTATGCAGAACCTTCAGAGGCCAGAAGAGGGCGTCAGATTCCCCTGGGACTGTATTTACAGATGGTGTGAGCCCCCCAGTGTTGGTGTAGAGGAATGGAACCTGGGTCTGTTGGAAGAGCATCCAACACTGTCTCCAGCCCAATACCATTGTATTAAGCATCGTCTTTCTCCATTATTTTCCTGGAGCTCAGTAAGAAGAGCAGTTGCCAGTTTAGCAGTGGTGGTTATAAGTAACACTGTTTCCAATATTAAGGTTATCTTTTGTGGGTGTTTGCTTGGAGATAGTCTTTCTAGGCTGGCTTTGAGCTCATTATTTAGCTGAGGATGACCTCCTACTGCCTTCACCTCCCAAGTGTTGGAATTACAGTCATGGGCCGCCATGCCCAGTTTATATAGCTCTAGGGATGGTACTCAGGCTTTCATGCCTACTAGACAAGTGCTTTACCAAGTGAGCTACATCCCCTGCTCAAGGAGCTCTTTCAAGATTAATATCACCTAAATGTCTAAAGGTAAATGAAAAGTTGTCATTTATGCCCGGTATGGTGACCCATGCCTAAATCCCAGCTTTTAGGAGGATGGTAGATTTGAGGACAGCTTGCACGAATGGTGAGTTCAAGGCCACCCTGGGGAGAACTAGCAGGGTGGTGATAGTGGACGCCTTTCATCCCAACGCCCGGGAGGCAGAGGCAGGCGGATCTCTTGAGTTTGAGGCCAGCCTGGTCTCCAGAGTGGTTTCTGTCTGGCCAAACGCATGAGCTTCTTTTGGACGGAGACGCCCTCCCATGGCTTTATGTCCTCGTTCCCATCTGGACTGGTTCTTCCTCTCTCCCCTGCCGCCACTTTCCTGAAACTTTTTTTCTTTCCCCTGGATTTTTCTTTACTGTTCTCTTGCCGACTTCTAATGTTCCTCACATCCCACGGCTCCTTTTGGTTTACTTCCTAATCCTGGTGGACCACACCCTCCGGTAGTTCCCTAGGAGCTTGTACTCGAGTCCTTGTACATCCAGGAATGTACACTCGGAGCAGAAAATCGGTTAGTTATAGAATCCTAGGTCAGAATTTATTTTTCCCCACTAGGTTAGTGAAGAATTGTTCTGTTCCTTGTGTTTAGAAGTGTTAAGAATCCTATTACCCTTAGGTAACCCACCCTAACTGGATGCTTCTAATGTCCTATCTTCCTCATCTATTCTGAAATTATACTCTTGGCTGTTTGAGAATAGAGGACTCCGTGGTGAGAATACATGAGCCTTTGTAGAGATTATTTCCTTTAATATGGAAGTCCTCCCAGCTAGATTCTGTGCCTTCCCAGCTTCATGTGGATAATGGAGGAATTCATTAAGCCCAGGTGGCTTTGGAGGGAACAGTGATATGGAAGCCCAGTGGTTTGCTCACAGGCCTTCCCTAGGATCCCAGACATTCATGCTCACTGTTTTTAGCTTGTTCCAACTTACTCCTTGTCTGTTATTTTTCCTGCCCAGAAACACCTTTTATTATTATTATTAATTGCGCAATATGTGGTTATTGTTGCAGGTGTCAGTGCTTTTCCGTGATGTGTACATAGACTTCTCTCAGGAGGAGTGGGAGTGCCTGACTGAGGAGCAGAGAGATTTGTACCGAGATGTGATGCTGGAGAATTACAGCAACCTTCTTTCAATGGGTAAGGACTTCCACACTGACCCTGATCTGCCTGTTGGTGGTCTCTTTCCTCCCTCCTCCAAGTGTGAGATGCTCACCTGCCTTTGAAAAAGCTGTTTCGAACTGGGCATGGTAGTGCTCACCTTTAATTCCAGCACTGGAGGCAGAGGCAGGCGGATCTCTTGAGGTCCAGGCCACCCAGCGCTGTAGTCAGATCCTGTCTTTAAAAAGGGAAAGAAAGAGAGCTGTGTGGCATTACAGAAGGTGCCCTGATCTCCCTTCCTGTTTCGTAGCTGTCCTCTCCCTTTCTGTCACTCCCTGTCCTGTATACTTTGGGAGTTCCTTCCAAGCTTGCCCAAAGGCCTTAGATATGGGGCTCAAGGGGGACACTTGGATGGGTTATTTGTAGCATGTGAGATGTTTATTAGAAGATTTAGTAACAGATGGACAGACAGACAACAGTGTGACCGAGACTCAGGCCCCTCATCACAGACAGCATAATGGGTTCCTATATATCTCTGAGGAAACGGAAGGGTTCAGCGAGGGCCTGAGGACCGGCCTCTGGTTCCCCATCAGGCAGTGCGGGAAGCGAAGTGTGGCTGGCTACCAGGAGGTCAAGCCTGAGAAATCCCTTCTCCAGATGAGAAATCCGAGGACCTGGAAGGCTGTTTGCTAGTGTTCACAGATCTTGCTTTCCATAGGGTGCCTGCCAGTGTCTGTGAGGCAGGGAAAGGGGACTGCAGGTACTGTGGTCGAGTGGCTGTCTGGTCTGGATTTCAACCCTTGTCAGTAGCCTCTGCTTAATCCTGCCGTATGCATTTCCCTCCATTGTCAAAGTTCACTCACCCCTTTTCCCTTCTCCATCCACTTTACTTCTCTTCTTCATTGTCTCCTGGGGATTAGCCCGGAACTGTCTTAGTTAGATTTCTAATGCAGTGAAGAGACACCATGACCACAGCAACTCTTATAAAGGAAAATGTTTAAGTGAGGTGGCGGCTTACCATTCAGAGGTTTAGTCCTTATTGCCATGGTAGGGAGCATGGTGGCTCGCAGGCAGGTATAGCGCTGGAGCTGAAAGTCCTACATCTTGATCATCAGGCAACAGGAAGTGAACTGAAACACTGGGCCTGGCGTGACCATATATGAGACCTCAAAGCCCACCTCCACACTTCCTCCAATAAGGCCATACCCATTCCAACAAGGCCACACCTCCTAATAGTGCCACTCCCTATGAGAATATGGGGGCCAATTACATTCAAACTACCACAACCTATGGCCTGCAATTCTGTCAGACTTGCTTTCCCGACTAGGTTGTTCATTTGTTTAGTTTTTTATTCACAAGTTCCACGCCTTCCTTGATTCATCCCCTTGTTTTTTGGTTTGTCCAGACAGGGTTTCTTTCTGTAACAGCCCTCACTGTCCTGGAATTAGCTCTGTGGACCAGGCTGCCCTTAAACTCAGAAAGATCCTCTTGCCTGTGCCTCCCAAGTACTGGGATTAAAGGCATGAGTCTCAACCTCCTGGCTCATCCATACATTTAATTACTATTTACTGTTTCTCTAATATGTACAGTTCTTGGGTAGGAACTACAGAAGGAACTACATGTCAAATTCAGTGCTGTCCTACTATGGCAAGCACTGGCCCAGAGGCTGCCATAGAAACTGTCATTCTTGGGCTCCATTCCCCATGCTTGGGGTCAGGGATGAATTGGCCATAGACAGCAAGCCTCTAGACCTGGGTTGAGGCAGTAGGTGGCATTGACTTCCACAACTACTCTTTGAGGTTTGCTCCGTTTCACCCAAATAATAATGTTTAGGCCAAGGTGTGATGTGTATGTGTGTACTTGCACATACACTTAATAATTTTAGGTAGATATAAAATAATATGATTTCAGCCAGGCGGTGGTGGCGCACGCCTTTAATCCAAGTACTTGGGAGGCAGAGGCAGGTGGATCTCTGAGTTCGAGACCAGCCTGGTCTACAAAGCGAGTTCCAGGACAGCTAGGGGTGTTACACAGAGAAACCCTGTCTCAACCCCCCCCCCAAAAAAATTATAGCCTTTTCAAATATCTTTAGTGTTATTTATCCTCTCCCTTTCTCTTCTGTGTTGTCCATCTTCCCTAATTAAAGGACAGCCCTCCACATGCCGTTTCCTAGAACTCCCCCTGGAGTGGTTTTCTTTTCACCCTCCTGGTTCCTGCATCCGCTCCAGGCTATATATTCACATCTGAGGATTTGGAGCTGGGAACCACACCTGAGAGAATATGTGACTTTTGTCTTTCTGGGTCTGGGCTACTTGACTCAAAATAATATCTAATCCCATCCAGTTGCCGGCACATTTCATGATTTGATTTTTCTTTATAGCCAAACAGTATTTCATTGTTTATATATTCCACATATTCTTTTCTTTCTTTTTTTTTTTGGGGGGGGGGTTTGTCTTTTGTTTTGAGTTTTGTTTTTTCAAGACAGGGTTTCTCTGTGGCTTTGGAGCCTATCCTGGAACTAGCTCTTGTAGACCAGGTTGGTCTCGAACTTGCAGAGATCTGCCTGCCTCTGCCTCCCGAGTGCTGGGATTGAAGGTGTGCACCATCACCTTACTTTTTTTCTTTCTGTTTATTTGAGGCAAGGGCTGGCCAACCTTGAACTCACTTTTAAACCAGAGAGGCCTTACACTCCCTTCCTTCTAAGTAGATGGAATAGTGGACCTGTGCCACCAGGTTTGGCTGGGTGTGTTTTTTCTGTGCTCCAGCCTGGTGTTGTCATCTCTCGACTAGATTACCTAAGCACTGAGATGCTGTTTCCACAGATAAATAGGCGTTCAAATTGATGTTTCTGCAAAGAGATGAGTATTACGAGGCAATCAGTAGTCTGTAAGGTTAAGATATCTTTATTCAGATAAACACCAGCCAAACGCAAGCCAGAGCGTGCCAGGGGCAGCAAGGTAGGCAGGACAGAGAGAAGGGGCTCCCATCTGCCTTGCAGCCCTATCATCCTTCCCTCACCTTGACCACTCCCTGACAGGCGTGGTCAGGCACACCTGTAGCCAGCCCTTAGGAGGCGTGGTTACGGTGTCTCCCTACAGAGAGTGCTGTCATCTTGCTCATACTTATAGGGAGGTTTTATCTGGTGTCACAGCTTCGTTTGTATTCTCACACCTATTCCTGAATAAGCTGCTTTATTTAATCACTGACATGACTGAGAAAAGAATTACTATGTATGTATGTATATTTATTTATATATATAAATATTTTGTTAGGTAGGGTTAATATTTTTTCAGCTAAGTAGCTCTGCCTGTCCTGTAACTATGTAGATGAGTAGCCTAGAGCTCACAAGTGTTATGTGTGGGGTGGGGCTGGGTGGGGGGACAATGACACATGACAGAAGGGGACAGAGTAGGTATTTCCATGTAATCATTATATCTTCTCTTATTGTCTCATCTTGTTTTATTGAGACAGGGTTTTGTTTTATAACCCAGGCTTGTGAAGCTCTGTGGCTCAGGCTGGCTTGAACTCACAGCAGCTCTTTTCTCAGCCTCAGGAGCCCTTCAATGACAAGTGTGAGCCACCACACCTGGCTTTCTCATCTATTTTGTTTATTGTTTTAAAATTTTTGTTATTTATTTGTATGACTGTTTTGCCTCCCGTGTATGTATGTGCACAGTGTACATGCCTGGTGCCCACAGAAGTCAGAAGAGGGCATTGGATCCCCGGAATTGGAGATATAGACATTTGGGAGCCTCCATGTGTATACTGGGAATTGAACCTGGGTCCTCTGCAAGAGCAACAAATGCTCTTAACTGCTGAGCCTCTCTCTGACTTCTTTATTGTTTTTTTTTTTTTTTTAAATTTCCCAAGACAGGGTTTCTCTGTGTAGCCCTGGCTGTCCTAGAACTAGCTCTGTAGACCAGGCTGTCCCTCAATTCAGAGATTTGTGCTGGGGGATATTCGATCACACTGTGAACCTGAAGTTTGCATTTGTGTTAAATAAAATTAACCTTGGGTCAGGAGGCTGAGTTAGCAACTTAGTTGGCAGAAGGTAATCATAGAGCCTCAGAGGGCATCTGGAAGAGACAGAGAGATGCACCAGAAGGAGTCGGGAAGGATTTGGGAGTGACTGTTTTTTTTTGTTTGGCAAAGCGGAAGGATGCTTCTTTTCAGAGATACCAGCAAGGAGAGGTTAGCTAGTTGCTACTCAGCCTCTCTGAGCTAATAAACTGGAGTTTTCACCCCAATCTTATTTCTAAATAGAATGATAGAGATTTAGTTAAAGCTGCCTTTAGCATCAGCAACAAAGCCGGTGCTGTGGGCTGCTGCCAGAGAAACAGCCCGGTAACTGCTGAGTGGTAATTGGTGGCTGAAATAGCAGTAGATTCAGGTGCAGCCACTGTGCTGAGGTTAAAACAGCAGATTTGTCTGCCTCTGCCTCCCCAGTGTTGGGATCAAAGGTGACCCTGATATGAGGTTTAACCTACATGTATGCATGTGTGTCACATGCATGTCTGGTGGCCATGGAGGCCAGAAAAGGGCTGCTATTCTAGAACTGGGGTTACAGGCAGTTACGACCACCATGTGGGTGCTGGGAACAGAACCTGGGTCCTTTGCAAGTTTCCTAACCACTGGACCGTATTTTCAGCCTCATTTTTTTTTTTTTTTTTTTTTTTTTTAAATACAGATTCTCATAAAACCCAGACTGGCTTCAAACTCAGGATGACTTTGAACTCCTGAGCCTCCTGTCTTCATTTCCTGAGTGCTGAGCTTATCAGTGTATGCCATCTCAACCAGCTGACCATCATGTAGTTTTTAAAAAATCAATTTAGTTCTCCCATGCTTGTATCATATCTACCTAATTGAATTTTCCTGTCTCACAAACAATAGAAAAGCAAGTGATCACTTGTATATTTTCTTTTAGTCCTGGAATCAAGATGTGAGGCCCAGAAATTGTTTTTGAAGAAGGAGCTTTATGAAATAGAGTCAGCACAGTGGGAGATAATGAGAAAACTCACAAGACAGGACCTTCAGTGTCCTAGTCTCAGCGGTGCCTGGGAGTGGAGTGGCCAGTGTGCGAGACGGCATGGATCTCAGGAGAGACAATTCAGTGAACTGGTAATCAGTCGTGAAGACACGCCCACCCTCAGTCAGTATCCATCCTTCAGGCTGCAGCAAATCCTTAAGAATAAAGAGAAATATTGTGCAAGTAAAGAAAATAGGAAACGCTATAAACATGCCTCACGGTTTACTACTCATCAAATCATTCGTACCATCGAGAAACCGTATGAATGTAAGGACTGTGGCAAGACCTTTAGACACCCCTCAGGACTTACTCATCATCACAAAATTCACACTGGGAAGAAACCCTTCGAATGTAAGGAGTGTGGAAAGACGTTTATCTGTGGCTCCGACCTGACGCGACATCACAGAATTCACACTGGTGAGAAGCCTTATGAGTGTAAGGACTGTGGAAAAGCCTTTAGTAGTGGTTCCAATTTTACTCGCCATCAGAGAATTCACACCGGGGAGAAGCCTTATGAGTGTAAGGAGTGTGGGAAGGCCTTTAGTAGTGGTTCCAATTTTACTCAACATCAGAGAATCCATACTGGAGAGAAGCCCTATGAATGTAAGGAGTGTGGCAATGCCTTTAGTCAGAGCTCACAGCTTATTAAACATCAAAGGATACACACTGGGGAGAAACCCTATGAATGTAAGGAGTGTGAAAAGGCTTTCCGGTCTGGTTCTGACCTCACGAGACATCAGAGAATCCATACTGGAGAGAAACCCTACGAATGTAAGATTTGTGGGAAAGCCTATTCTCAGAGCTCACAACTCATCAGTCATCATAGAATCCATGCCGGTAAGAAAGCCTATAAATACGAGGACTGCGGAAAGAACTTTAACTACGACTCACAGCTTATTCAGCATCAAAACATATATTGGTGATAAACAAAAACACACAAGCTGTACGTGAAGACTCAAAGCTATCCGATAGTCTACCTTTGAAATCCCTCTAGACTGAAGAATGTAGAAACAGTTTACTTGTTGACCTCAGCTTGTTCATCTGAAGAAAATTCATATTGGAGAGTTGCCCTATGAATATAATATATTCTGGAGGCCTTTTAGTAACTTCCTATTTCTTCATTCAGTCTGCACATCATTGAAAACAATCCTTTGACCTTAAACATCAGAATTCATGTAGCAATATAATCATGGTTTTCGTTGTTTCCTTAGGGTTTTTTATATATCTATAATTGTCACATTAACATTTTAATCCATCTTTACAAACCTTTTCTGTTAGTATCGGAGTTTACAAAATACCTTGATTTTCAAAGTTAACGGAAGTGCCCTTTTTAATTTGAAAGGTGGTTTATTCTTTGGCTTATTATAAATCATGCTCTTGTAAGCATGTTCACAAAGAATTTTTAGCTTTGACAAAACACATTACAAAAGCAACTTGAAGAGTTTGTCCCTGCAGTAGGATCATGGCCCCACAATAGCAGCTGCCTGGGGTTATCTTCGAGACCCCCAACCGAGCCAGACTGAGAGATCAAGAAGAACTTCAGACGGAGCCAGATAATGGAGTGGAGTTGGCTTTATTAAAAACAGGAAGCAAGTGTTCCAAGAGAGGAAGAGTAGAGCTCACCTGCTAGGAGATGTGCCTCTAGGGGAGAGTCACTCACACAGTTAGGTGCTTACAGTGAGAACCTAGGGGATCTTGGTGGCTCTCAAGTTACATCTGAAAAGACTGCTAAGAAAGCAACTCCTTTCTAACATTACCCCCAAAGTGTCATTTGTAACAAGGTTAAGAGTTAGAGAATTTTATAGCTGGGCATGATTGTTTAATCCCAACAATTCAGGGGGCAGAGGCAGGTGGGTCTCTGTGAGTTCGAGGCCAGCCTTGTCTATAGATGAGTTACAGGACAGACAGGGCCACACAGAGAAACCTTGTCTCAAAAAAAAAAAAAAAGAAAAGAAAAGAAAAGAAAAGTTCAAAGGAGTTTTTCTCAATAAATGAAGTTGTATGGTGGTTGGTTTATGAGGAGAATCACTTAGATATAGACAAAAGAATGCTAGGAACATGAGGGTTATGCGTCATTTAAAGCCCCAGTGAGCACAGCCTAATTGCTGTTGATACCTTGATGGAGATGGCTTCTTGGAACAGTACCAACTGGCACGAAGGTGGAGCAATTTTCTTTAAAGTTTTATTAGTTTATTTTGTGTGTCTGGGTGTTTTACTTGCGCATATATATATGTATGTGTACCAACAGTGTGCCTGGTGCCCGAGGCCTGAAGAAAAGCATCGGAGCCCCTGAAACAGTTTCCAAATGGTTGTGAGCCATCATGGGAGTGCTGGCAACAGAACCAGGCCCTATATAAGAGTAGCCAGTACTCTTAACTGCTGAGCCATCTCTCACCCGAAAGCAGACTTTATTTGCTGACTTTGACAAGATGAACTTTGTTTTTTTGTTTGTTTGTTTGTTTTGTTTTGTATTGTTTTTCGAGACAGGGTTTCTCCGTGGCTTTGGAGGTTGTCCTGGAACTCACTTTGTAGATCAGGCTGACCTCGAACTCACAGAGATCCACCTGCCTCTGCCTCCCAAGTGCTGGGATTAAAGATGTGTGCCACTACTGCCTGGCTAAGATGAACTTTGGAAAGCACATATTTTTATTGCCAGTTATGTCCCTGCCAGTGGAGTCTGAAGTCTGTGGGCATTGGGAACAGATCAAGTCTCTGGAGTAGGTTGTCTTTCCTCTCCAAGCCTCGTCTCCTGAGGTTCCCTATCTATGTTGCTGTGGGGTTCAGTGTGGCTCACTGTTTGAGGGCACAGTTTGGCAGGACAGGAATGGCAAAAGGTTTATGAGGTTACTGTCCACATTGAGTCTGCAATCAGGAAGCAGAAAGATGAACACAAGTGTCTAGCTTGCTTAAAAAACTTTGTTTAGATGTATGTGTATGCTTTGCCTACAATGGATGAATGCACCGAATGTGCTTACAGATTATTGTAAGCCACCATGTTGGTGTTGGGAATAACCTGGGTCCTCTGTAAGAATAGCAAGTACTCTTAGCTATTGAACCATCTCCAACCCACAGACACCACACCACCACCACCCAAATGCCCCTTTTTAGTTCAGGGTGTGTCTTCCTACTTGAGTTGGAAGCTGTCTGACATGGAAGAGTCCTGCCTGATTGCCAAAGTCTTTGGGTTTTTTGTTGTTGTCAAGACGGGCTTTCTCTTACTCTTCCAATCCCAGACTCCCAGACATCTTGTGATTCTAAATCTCAAGTTGACAATCAACGTTAGTGGCCCTTCATGGTGGCACAAGGGAGTCAGAGGACTCCCTTGTTCTACAGAGTAAGTTCTAGGATAGCCAGGACTACACAGAGAAAGCCCGTCTTGACAACAACAAAAAACCCAAAGACTTTGGCAATCAGGCAGGACTCTGATCTTGACAGTGTTTTATTGTGCTACTGATAAGTCATTTTAAGTGCCTCCTAGGGACTTTGTTTCAGATACTTTGTCATGACACATGCTTAAATACACCCCCAGTGGGCATTCTTCCTAGGCATTTCTTTGTTGTTGTTTTATGTGTGTGAGTGTCTTCATGTATGTGTATGTACCACTGATTGGTGATCTTGAATTGTAGTTAAGGATGGTTACGAGCCATCATATGGTGCTGAGACTGAACTCGGATTTTCTGTAAGACCAATGGACCAGCTTCTCAACTCCATTGTTTATTCTATCTGTCTATCTCTATCTATCTATCTATCTATCTATCTATCTATCTATCTATCTATCTATGGAGACAGGGTCTTTCTATATAACCCCAGCTATCCTGGAACTCACTGTGTAGACCAGACTGGCCTCAAACACACAAATCTGTCTGCCTCTGCCTCCTGATTGTGAGTGCAGGATTAAAGGCATGTGCCACCATGCCTGGTCCAACATTTTATTTTTTTCTGTTTTAGTGTTTGTGCAACAGTCTTGCTGTGGAGGTCATGGGGAGCTGGTTCTCTCCTTCTACTATGGGCTTCCCAGGTAATGAACAGCAAGCTGCACTGAGCCATCTCCTTGGTTTAAATGCTATTAATTTTAACTATAGCAATGAGACAGCGCGTTTTCCTTATGGAAGATTTAAACATTAAGACAAACATCTTTTGACTGCACACTGCACCCATTTCTTTTCCCAGAGTGTAGTCATCAGTTCTTTATTTAGATGGCAAGTTTTCAGTTTCAGATCAGAAGTCATTTTTAAAATTACATTTATTTCATGCATGTGTATATGAGCAACAACATATTACTGTGTGGAGGCCAAATGATAACTTGTAGGAGTTGGTTCTCTTCCAGTGTGTGAGTCCTGGGGATTGAACTCGGGATCTCAGCTTGTTAGCAAGTACTTTTAATTTCATATGCCGCATGATGTCACCTGGCTGGTTTCAGATTCTCGGGTTCAATTGATCTTCCCATCTCTGTCCCCAGAGTAGATGGGACTACATCACGCTCATCTTAAACTATCTGGCAGGTGGGTTGGCTTATTTGCTGAGACACGGTACCCCACTTTGTGTCCCAGTCTGGCTTCAAACTCAGTACCTCTGCCCAGACTCAAGTGCTGAGGTTACAGGCTCAGCTAGGGCCCTTTGGGTTTTGGGTTGTTTTCTGTTTATTTGTTTTTGTTTTTTTAAGGCAGGGTTTCTCTGTAGTCCTGGCTGTCCTGGAACTTGCTCTGTAGACCAGGCCAGCTTTGAAACTAGAGATCCACCTACCACTGCCCCTCCCCCCAAGTGCTGGGATTATGATCATTCATTGTTTTAAAGAGTTTTATTTTTAGTGGATGCTATCGAGTGGGAATGATTATACCACCTAGCCCAATGTTTATTAGAATGAAGTTAGTTAGGATTGGTGGGGCTTAGGGTTGTGCCTGACAGTAACAGGCTGTAATGTATGTTAGTCACTGCTTTCTATTCACTGTTACCACTTTCTATTGAAAGGCTTAATTTCCTGCAGATCGTATTCTTAGGGAATATAATTAAAGATGATGAATGAATCAAAAGTTTAATCATCGCTTTTATTGTATGTATTTGAGACCATGTTTTATTCCATAGACCTGGCTGGCTTGGAATTCACTGTGTAACTTAGACTCGTCTCGAACTGTGTACGATCCTTCTGCATTGCAAGTTTTGAGATTACAGGCATCTGTCAACACAATTTTTTTTTTTTTGACAATTCAAAAAATACAGCAACTTACTTAGCTATTAGCTGTTCTTACGTACTACCTATTATGAATTAGAGGTTGTCAGCTAAATCTGGTCAGTTACATGCTGGTGAACACCTAACAACTAAGAACAGCTAATAGCCAAGCTTTATTATTATTTTTTATAATTTTAAGCTTATTATATTTAATGTAGCACTGGATGGTCTGGAACTCACAACATACAGACCAGACTGGCCTCCGACTCCATAGAGATCCTCCTGCCTCAAAGTCCTGGAACTAAGGGCATCTTCCGCCACACCCATCCAATTTGAAACTAGTAATTTTACCTAGTAAGGTAAATCGAAGAAATGCCTTGTGGCTAGTAAAGAAACAAGGAAACAGAAGGCAAGAGAAGGGCTTGGTGGTGGTGGTGCATGCCTTTAATTCCAGCACGTGGGAGGCAGAGGCAGGCGGACCTCTGTGATTTGAGGCCAGCCTGGTCTACTAAACAAGTTTTAGGACAGTGGGGGCTGTTACACAGAGAAACATTGTCTCAAAAAACCAAAAAGGCAAGGGGGGAAAATCAGTGATGTTAAATTTGAATTAGGCTATCAGAATGCACTCATGCTGCCTTAGTTTCTTGTTTTGCTTTAACAAAGGAAAAAGTCCCTGGTCAAGAAATAAAGGTATTGGGCTGGAGAGATGGCTCAGTGGTTAAGAGCACTATTCTGCCCATAGGACCTAGGTTCAATTCCCAGCACCCACATGGCAGCTCCTAGCTCTCTAACTCCAGTTCTAGGAGGCCCTACACTCTCACATGCTCGCAGGCCATACCCCAATGCACATAAAATAAAAATCAGTAAAAAGCTGGGTGGTGGTGTTTTGCTCCTTTGCACTCAGGATGCAGAGGCAGGTGGGTCTCGAGGCCAGCCTGGTCTACAGAGTGAGTTCCAGGACCTCAAGCGCTACACAGAGAAACCTGTCTCAGAAAAACAAAAACAAAAAGGGAAAGAATGGTATATGATTCCTTGATCCTGGACTGTCAGCTCTAGTCATAATGCCTCCCTTATTTGTCTTATTTTTTTCTTAGTCTAGAGTTTCTCAAATCTGAGCAATGCCCTCTTCAGCGCCTAGGAAAACTGAACTGCTCTTGAAGTGGACCATGTGATTTTGTTCCCGGCACCCACAGGGTGGCTCACAAGCATCCGTGGTGACCTCCGTGGCGATGCATGTACGTACATTGTGCAAAACAGCCATACACACAGAGTGAATGTTAAACAATAAACAAAAACCTTAACCTGATTCCCCGGGGCAGAAGCAAACTGCTACACGATAGGCGTTTCCTTTAAAAATCTTACTCTCTGCCTCATCCATTGGCAGTCACCTCCACAACAAGCCAGAAGAAAACCAGCCTTTTCCTCAGATCCTTAGCAAAGCTGGGGTCCCTGCGCCTCCCGGAG